AATTTTTCTTTCATTATTTTACACTTTTGTGAATTTTGTGTTATTTTCTATTAATTGTTTGCATTTTATTTGTGCATTTTAATTCATATGAAAAATATAAAAAATATGCATGATATTTGTTTAGGATTTAATTTCATATTTTAATATTAATTAGTAGTTAAGAAAATATAAAAAATAACAAAAATGGTCTTTTGCATTTTTTATTTTAATTTGTGTTTAATTAGAAATTAGGGTATTTGGAGATTAGAAAATATAATTTTTTAGTGTCAATTTTGGTTTTGAGTTTTGATTTAGTATTTCAAAAAATTAGAAAATAAATAAAAAAAATATACACAAAAGAAATAAAAGAAAAATAATTAAAAGAAGGCTGTTTAATAAAGGCTCGCACTGGGCCGTTTGTAACCAATTCCCCCTAGCCCAATTCGTGTAATCCACTCCCAGACCAGGCCCGATTTCTTTTCCCATCCGGTACGCCCCGTTATTTAATAGAACGACGCCGTATAACCGAGTTTCAATCCAAGCTGTCGATGTTGATTAATCAGACGGTCCAGAAGCCCACCCCCATTAATATATATGTGTCCGAACGGGCACCCCACCCCCCTTAGGCCATCGTCTCCCTCACAGCCCCCTCTCTCAAGAACCCTAATGGAGCCGCCCTAATTCTCCACCACCGTGGATGGCGGCGCCAGTCCCTTTCAGTCCCAAAATTACACCATTAAACCTGCTCAACCCCCCCTACCCCCCCCCCCCCCCCCGGTTCCAAATATCCAAATAGTTTCCTTCAAACATCAACCAATCTCTTCGAATCTTAATTCAAAATTTTCCGGCTGCAACGCCACTCCTCCCAAACCACCCCAAAATAACACCACGAGACCCCCTCTTCTCCCTCATCATGAATCCACTACCCGTTCCCTTCGAATCCCGGTCCAACTCGTCGAATCTTTCCCCAAAGCTTTTCCGGCCACGACGCCAGTTATGCCAATGACCGCCAAATTAACACCATAGATTCTCCTCAGCCTCCTCATCTCAAATACCTAAGTTCCTTCCTTCGAATACGACTGAAATGCCTCGAATATCAAATCGAAGGTTTTCCGGCCAAAACCCTAATTGCCCCAAACTTCACCAATTCGATACCAAATGACCCTCTAACCTTCCTCGTAGTGAATTGGTCATCAGTCGAGCCTTATTTTTGCCGGAGTTGGTCGTGTTCGAATTTGGAAATTTGACCGGAGTCTTGAAGTGAATCAGTGAGTTTTCTTTTTAATTTCTTTCTCTTTTTTATATATGTTTGATTATTTGTGATGCAATTGTTTGGCTTTGCTTCCAGTTCGATTTGAATCCTCAGACCTAGGACGTTTAGCTCTTTGGATTAATTTTCATCTGTTCGGTTAATTGGTTCATGTTAGCTTAATTTTGATTTTCGTTTTGTTAGTTTAATTGTTAAGCCTTGGTTAATTCTGATTAGTTTGAATTGTTAGTTTAAATTGGATTCGATTCAATTCTGATGTAGTTGTACTTTCTTCGGGTTGTAATTGGATTAGGATTAGTTAGGCTTTCAATAGTTGATTTTGTGTGTCAAAACAGTATTTGTTTAGTAGTAATTCAGTAATTAGCAATTAGTAGCCATTTGAATTAGTTAAGTATGTTTTGTTCTGTAAATTCAATGTTGGTTCAAGTAGTTGTTAGGATTATTTTAGTTAGTCTGGTCATTAATGCTGAGTTCAATTACTAGATTTAATAAGAGTTTAATTGGGATTGTTCTTCAATATGTTGATAATTCAGAGATCAGGGATTTGTTTGGTTATAGCTGCGATTTTGTTTAAACTCAAGGGTAAAATAGGAAGTTCAAGGGTAGGGAATTCAGAGTGAACTTTCTAGGAGCTTCTAGATGGGGCCTTTTAGATAAATTGCAAAAGCTAAGGTAGTTACTTGAGAAGCAAGTC